AATGGAAAATTTTTTTTCGAAACCGCTTTTTATCAAATTATGCTAAATGTATATTCAATAAAATACTTAACCAAATAATTCTATTTTCGTTAACATCATTGCAAAAGTAAGAAAATCAAAAATTTTCAATTATTGGGAATTACAAAAAGAGAGAGATACGTCCCTTGTTGACGATTTAGTGAACTAGTGGCATCTACATTGTTTATCTTAATGTCCATTAATATGTGTGTATTAATGTTGCTGTTTCATATTAATTCTTGCATTTTAAGTGATAAGGAAAACATTTTGTCGAGTATCAATCACGTTTCTTGTGTTGAATGAACTATCAGCACAGCCGTTTCCATGACAAGCCTTGGTGAGAGAGAAACGGCAACCCTGTCTAAGATGCCTTATTTTGTAGTTTTGAACCGTTGTTATCGATTATATACACAGCAAGCACAGTCATTACAATGACGGACCTATTGTCAGGTTTCTATAAATAAATGAATTACGTCAAAGCTATTTTCCGGGTTTGTTGGCCGTGTTCTACTGGTTTTAAGTCTGACGTTTCGTCTACGACTGCGGTGGGGATTATCAAAGTCGATGTGGTAATGAGCGCAGTGTTCTCATTGTTCTGTCAGTATACAATACTTCGTCCCGTTATCTGTGTTTCTGGTTTTCTCTTGGAAAGGAGGAAGATTGGGTTAGGTTACAATTAAAAACTAAATAACATCTAAATGTATGGAAATCATCTGTTCGAAATCTGACCAAGCATAAAAGAGGTTTTAGCCTATTGATTTCGATAAAACCTGTTTCCCAATATTATATAGAATTTGAACATTCATTGTCACTTTTTTATAATTTGGACAAAGATAATTTGTTATTTCAAATAGAACACCCTGCATTTTTTTGATCTGAACATTGTAAAAATTCAATTATCTTTCATTTCGCTTTGGGGATCCCTATACCTAATCTAACTAGATTTCAGATATTGGATCTTTCAAATTGAAGTTTTCATTTCAAGGCATTCTTTTAATAAAGATTTTGTTTCAGTCGGTATTCCGCAAATAAAATGGTGTGGCTCGGAGGGAGACTACAACGTTATGGTGATGGAGTTACTGGGTCCATCTCTGGAGGACCTCTTCAACTTTTGTTCAAGGAGGTTCTCGCTGAAGACGGTCCTGCTGCTGGCCGACCAACTAATTTCCCGCACCGACTTCATTCATTCGAGGAATTTCATCCACCGCGACATAAAACCGGACAATTTTCTTATGGGTTTGGGCAAGAAAGGCAACCTAGTGTACATAATCGACTTTGGTCTGGCGAAAAAGTACAGGGACGGCAGGACGCATCAGCACATACCGTATAAGGAAAACAAAAATTTGACAGGTGAGTTTGTCATTCCCATTATATAGGATCTTNTAAATGAAAACAAATATATTCTGAGCAATTGCAGAAAATATAGTCTTCCACTTTTTCCATTGAATATAATATTCATTCATCGATTCATAACTCCACAATTTTCAATATTACTTTCTTATGCATCTCTGTTTTTAAATTTATATCGCTTGACTGTCCGAGAATATTTTTATTGACTTGTGTATGAGGTTGGATTCTGACAACACCCGCACCAGAACCTGAATGTGGTTTTGATCCAATTTGATCCATAATGCCTGAGGCCATTTCCAGAATGCTGTGACTTCCAGTGTTAACCAGCAGTGTTTTGTACTCTGCATTAGATTGATTTGTATGATTGGCGAAGTGCACAAGTCTATATGTAGTCCATCTAGCCTCTCTCACGCAAGGGCTTTTATCATTAATTCATATTCCACAGGTAATAAAGTACCCAATTGAAGAACTTAGATCGGATCGAATCATAACGTCATCTCCTTTTCCAGCAAAAATTGAAAATATGTCGGGCATGCCTGTGCAGGTATGTGTTACATATAAAAAGTGACTTTCATAGAAAGTATTGAAAAGGTGAAAATTATTTGTTACTCCGCTGCTTAAGGACTGAAATACCAACCCATGGCCGACTATAAATCGCTATACAGCAGTCGACGAAAATAAATATCGTTTCAAGATGCGCTTATCACAACAATAATGTACATAATGAGGAACACGCGGAACCACCAAAGCAATAATTTATTGTTTGTTGTTTCTGATAATCTAGATAGTTGGCAGCATTAGACTAGTGCACTTTGAAGTTACAAGTCGACTTCTTTGAACTGCGTTATCGAAAGTGCAAACTCGTATATACATTTCAGTAATACAATATCACAAACTATTACTGGCGAGTAGTATATTTATGTATGCATGGCGTTTCGGAAACTAACACCAAGAGTTGATTTTTTTCAGTTTATGCGCACTAAAAATACAAATATATCCTTTACTTGACTTACATGTT